GGATGATAACATGTATAATTTCCCACTATACATGTTATCATCCAGTTGGATCCAGTTTGGTTGATTATTGTGTATGTACTAAAAGCATGTATAAATACATATTATAATAGCATTTTAAAGTGAATATTGTTATACTACAATGTGAGTAAATATGCACATAAAATATGAATATTAATCTTATACTATTAAAAATTTTCATACATTCTCCAAATTTGTAGATTAATTGTCCACTCAATTTCAAGAAAAGTTACATTTGCCTAAATAGTTGTTATTTTAGTAACATGGGTAAATACTGCAAAGAATAAGTTGAAATTATTGTTAAAAGCACTGATAATGGATTTAAAAATTATCAGTGTTTATGAAAAGGCCAAGTCAGTTGGAAGTTATTATTGCTGCATGTCCACCATATATGGATTGTCACAGGTGTGAATTTTAATATTTGAAGTTCATTTCTGAATACATCAGTCACAGCAAGCTACAGCTTTGGATCGCATGCAAGACATGACAAATGAATGGTCAAGGTGACCTCAGAGACCAATGTCATATTTTGTATAATCAAGTAAAAATCTCATCACGCATACCTGACTTAGTTTGCATTGAATTGATGATAAGCACCTTTGGTGATAAGATGATAAGATTGGTGTCAGACTGCACAGGTTAAAAGTTGACCCAAACTAGTGACTTGCTTACTTCTATCTCTTTTATCAAAAAAACAAAACATATTGCAGTCAAAATTAAGCTATAAATGCGTGAAAGCTTAAGTTGCATGGGGGAAATTTTGAGACCTGAGAAATGCAACCCCCGCACCCCCTTTCTCTCGTATTCCTGATTTAGGATATAAATTATAAAGAAGAAAAAAAAAACGATTTTCATCACAAAGGGGTGTCATAATTACAATAGTGTTAGCTAATTAGTAATTAGTTACCTTAACTTTACCACACATACATTGTATCAAAATGTCAGTCATTATGCAATGATGCATTTATTTCATATTCCAATGCAAGATGGCTGAATGGTGACCATTTTAATGTTAAAAAATCATAAAATCTATTTACAACGACTATCTTTCAGAGAGAGACTCCATAACTGTAATCCTCCATTGATACAAAATAGAAGACATCGTTTAAAAAGTTACAAGAGTTGTTTTATTGGTAAAGATGTTATAGACTGGTTATTGAGACACAAAGAAGCACCTGACAGGGAAACTGCTGTCAAACTTATTAGAGTATTGCAACAGTTTTATGTTATTCGCCATGGTAAGATTTTATAGTCCATTGCCCTTAGCAACCATACTGATATTTTCAAATATTGTAAAATTTGACGTATTATTTTTATTTATTTCCTATCTTGAAATTTCTCTCTTTCAGTCACAGATGCTCATTTATTCAAAGACGAATATTTATTCTATAGATTTAGAAAAGATGACAACACATTTCCCAAAACAAGAGATACTTCAATCTACCTCAGAGGAGACAAGTTACTTCATAGGTAAGTGAAGATTGGATAAATGATAAGAAAAATTTTGTGAAAAACTTTAAAATTCTTCACTAAATCTGATGAGAAATTCTCATTGTAATAGTAATAAAAATTGTCTTTTGATCAGGTTGACCATATGTAATCGGAGTCAGGTGTTTTTAATTTGTTGTATTTTTTACTATTGCGGTACATCTGTAGCAGATCTCCATCAAGTGACTGTGTGATATTGCTTTTATTAAACAAGTGTAGTCCTTATCACAACCAAGTGATGTTGGTAATACAACTATAAATAGATGACATGAGTAGCAACATGAGTTAATGTACCTTCTGCTAATATGTCAAAAAGATTGTCATTTAGGGACGACGTCAAAAGATCGATGTCGGATAAAAAACTTATTTGCTTTAGTTTGGGGGTGGGGGGTTTTGACCTCAAAAAGTTTTCATCCTACAAAAACAATTTTATTTTTTAATGAAGTCAAAAAAATCTTGGAGTATTGTCGTTCTTTTTTTTTCTATCAGTTTATCATTCAATATTTTGTTCTCACAATCGCATTACATGTAGTAAGTATACCGCCCTATTTCACAGCTGATCAGATCAGACATACACAAAGTATGACCTTTAACCCTGTTATGGAGCAAAGAATCCATGTCACACCGAACCAGACTAAAAATAAATTCCACATCCTTTCATAATATGTAGTAACATTTTTGTAATCAGCACATTATATTTTATTGTGTTCCAATGAAGAAAAAAACTTACTTAGACTTGCCAAATGAATTGCTTTGTTTATGCTAATCAATCAATCAGGGATAACCCAATTATAGCTTTATATGGACAGCTGTAGAAAAACTCACTCTGTTCAGTTCTTTGCAACATAGTAGAAGATGTAAACTTTATATAGACAATACTGAAACAAGTTACAAAGTTACACATTTTTTGCTAATATAATATTACAATTAAAAACTGAAATGCTTGATGTTAGTACCATATTTATATTGACCAATTATTTATAAAATTTAATTTAAACTGTCTAGCAATTTTTGCAGTGGCAAGTACAAAAAATGTGGTTGCCATAGTAACTAAAATAGTTGAGATGATTGTTGTTGAAATTATAAATTTTTAGTCCCCGTTCGGACGAAGTCCAAAAACGGGGACTTATAATTCGGTCTCCGTCCGTCTGTGCGTCCGTCCGGAGTCATATCTCAGAATCCCTTGGACCGATTCCGTTCATTCTTTGCATGTGCCTAGTACTTTATGTGGGACATATGCACATGCAGTGGTTTAGCGATTCGATTTAAAATGGCCGACTGGCAGCCATC